GACATTTATTTTTAATAATATACGCGGTGTTTGAGACATACGAGGTGCTTTTAGCATTATACGCGGTGCTTGAGACATTATACGCGGTCGGTATAACGATATACGCAGTACTCAGTGCAGAAGGCAATATTTTTGCCTAGCACAGCACTTCTCTGAGCTCACACAGATCTTCTCTGGGCCATATGGCATTTTTTGTATTTTACGAAGCGAAAATACTTCTGTTAGAGGTGTATGGAAACTTTGTTTAGTGGCATCCTTCCACCCTCGAAATCGCAGGAAATGCCATTTCCGCGGTTCTAGATTTCAAATTTTCCCCTAGGAAGGTCGCACCTTCGGAAGGTCGCACCTTCTAGATTTCAAATTTTCCTCTAGGAAGGGGTCCGCCTTCGGCGGGACGATTTTTTTCAGCCAGCTACGCCACTGACCACACATTGTAAGTACAACGCAAGACAATAGACCTTGTTATATAGTTTTTGTCAAAGTTCAATTTCTCTGTTCGACGATTGATCAAAACCGTATCACGTAACAATACTAGAGAGGTTAAGATACCTCGAAAGCACCACTGCCAATTTCTTCAACATGTTTTAGTGATTCCCAACTAAATGTGGGTAAACAGTGATTTATTTTTCGCCTTTTTATTAGTGAAGGAAATTTAAAGCTTTCCTGTTCTCCAGACATTTTGAATGTCGGCAACCAAAAGCTGTTTGCTGACGTATTACACTATTTTATCTCACCTTTTGTCATTTGAGTATGTGGCACTTTGGGCATAGTTTTCAATGTGTGCTTCCTATCTAAGCACACTGTAAAGCTTAGTAAGAATGTAAGATCAAATTTCGAAAAAATACTGGATTGAAATGTCATCATTACAAATGAAATTAAATTTTTAGCATAGAACTGGACAGCAAGAATTTACCTGAAGGTTAAAAGAATGTTGTGTGACACAAATTACATTTAATGACAGATTTTCGCCAGGTTTTTAAACGCCGCGCTTCCTATAGCTATACGCCGCACAGTGACATTGGAATTAATACTGTTACCCGATCCTCACGTTGTATATGAAGAACGTATCAATAAAATATTTGTATGATTGTATCCAATAATTTATTTGCAGTGTATAGAGCTGGGGCTGTGGGTTAGGAGTATAAATATGCGTAAAGTTCAATTCCAATATGACCAATATGCAAATTATTGTTTGCAGATGACACCAATTTATTTCGTTCAGGAAAAGACCTGAAACAACTTGAAATAGAAATAAATCATGAATTATACTTGTGCAAACATGGCTTAAGGATAATCAGCTTACCTTAAATATTAAAAAGACTAACTACATTATATTCAAATCATTCAGGAAAAAACATAACGCAAATCTAACCTTTAAGATTAATGATAAAATTATACAAAATGCTAAAGAAACTAAATTCCTTGGTATTATAATTGATGAACACTTAACATGGAAAAGTCATATTGATTACATAACTAAGAAATTATTAAAAGTATCTAACATTCTTTGTAAAGTTCGTCACTACCTAAATAAAAAACATCTCATAACTCTATATCATACTCTTGTTTACCCACATTTATATTACGGTAATATACTATGGGCTATAGCAACTATAAAACAAGATTAAAGTCAGTATCAACGATACAGAAAAAGATTCTGAAAATAATATCATTTTTGCCTTATACTTTCTCATCTTCAACCCTTTTTTCAACGCTATAGAAATACTAAATATTAATAAGATAAATGCTTTTCAAGTTGGTTTGTTCACATTCGACGCAGTAAAAAATACACTACCACCTCAATTTGATTCACTTTGCATAAAAAACAATGTTATTCATTGCCATAATACCAGAGGCTCTATGAAATTACACAAACACTACAATAAAACAAACTATGGATTGTATTCCACAAAAAACAGATGCACAGTAGTGTGGAATATGTTGCCGGAATACATTAAAAATAGCGATAGTAAATACATATTTAAGTGCAATCTAAAATTATATCTTCTTTCTTCTGAAGATTATTAGTTGTACTCACAAAAAATGTAAATAAAAATAATTTATAACTTTATAAAGTTAATTTGTATTAGTGGACCTCGTATATCTTGAACCTGACATTATCTGACACTGTTCTCCTTTGTTATATTAGTTTGTTTTTTAATTTTTTTTAGGGTGGACTACTAGAAAAGCCCTGACGGGCTTGTTAGTCTTCCTTCCATATGAATTGTATCTTTATATTTTATCAAAACTGTAACTGTATAATGGAAAAATAAAATATCTATCTATCTAATGGCATTGTCTTGCGTTATACCATTACTTTTATTGGCTTATAATGTGCGGATCAGCTGATTACTTGTATAGTTAAATATTGGTTTATTCAAGCCAAACAATAAATCAACATGAGAATGATAAGATCGTATAAACATCTACATATTGTGGTCTAGTAGGGTCTACTATAGCTATGGTTTAATATTTCTAACGTGCCGAGCACAATGTCAATGCAAAACAAGTGCGCGGAGTCAAAGCCAGAGTGGCGAGCCATTTATTAAATAAAGCACAATCTTATATGATACAATTGCGTGGGAGCCTTGGCCTCTCCAAAAAGGAACTACGTCATTTACACAAACAACAAGCTTCGGTCGCCTAATCCTATTACTGTAATTTCGATTTACTTCATTGCTACATTTGCCATAACGCAACGAAAACAATTCATGAAAATATTTAATCAAAAATCTTCAAAATGTTAGGTTTTTTCCCGATTTCGGCCATTCCCCGGCCATTCCCCGGCCATGCCCCGGCCATTCCCCGGCCATTCCCCGCTCATTCCCCGACCATTCCCCGCTCATTCCCCGCTCATTCCCTTCCCCGTTCCCTTCCCCGTTCCCTTCCCCGTTCCCTTCCCCCATTCCCCGTTCCCCGTTTTAAAGATAGCCACACTAAGACAGACACAAACCATGACGAATCATTTAATCACGATAAATATCTTGAGCGCAATATCTTGAGCGCAATTTCTGGGGTTATGTAAAAAGTGCTTAAAACAAAACGGACAGTACTACCATCCTTCAGCATGCCAGAATGCCCAATTACTTCAAGAAAATACTGGCAGAAATTCATCCTACTAAATTATTTCAAATTCCAAGTTGGATTCCTAAGTTATGTAATCCTCAAATTCAATTTGACCTTGACCCCCCAACCTATCAACAAATTACAGCTGTAATACGTAAAATGAAAGCATCTGGTTCTCCTTGCCCTCTCGATCAGCTCTCAATAATATGTTTTAAACGCTGTCCTTACCTAAGAACTTATCTCACCGAACTTATACGGGCTGTCTGGTTATCTGGTACCATCCCTTCTGAATGGAAAAGAGCTTGTACCATTCTTATTCACAAAAAAGGCGAAGCTAACGATCCCTCCAATTTCCGACCCATTACACTTGAATCAATTCCTTTGAAAGTATTTACATCCTGTCTCAGTAATTCACTGTATTCCTTCCTCGCTGCAAATAATTATATCGAACATAACATACAAAAGGGCTTCACACCAAATCTTTCAGGTACTATGGAGCACACTGCTCAAATGGCGAATATTATAAACAAAGCACGGATTAAACAGCGCTCTCTTGTCATCACTCTCCTTGACCTTAAGAATGCTTTTGGTGAAGTTCATCACAACTTAATTCAATCTATACTTGAATATCATCATATTCCTGACCACATCAAAAATGTTATCAAAAGTTTATATGCTGATTTTAAAACTTCCGTGATAACTTCTGAATTCCGCATTCCGTTCAAAACTGTTGGCCGTGGTGTGCTACAAGGTGGTTGTCTTAGCCCTCTGCTGTTCAACATTTGCTTTAATACTTTCATTCAGCACATAAAAGCTGACAAGTACCGTCAATTTGGTTTCATGTTTAAGTTCCTCAATCCCATTCACTGGTTTCAATCCACGTTTACTGCGATGAAAAATATGCTGCTGTCACGTGACCAAATTTGCATTTTTTCGGACAACTTTCGCACTCCGCTATTCAAAGTGTATACACGTGCGCGATATAAACAAGCGAAAATATCGCAAAATAAGGATGATTTGAAAGTTTTTTTTTGTATTTGTGGGTATATTTTAACTCCTGTAAGTGTAATATAGCGAAGAGAAAAATGGTAATGAGAATAAGCGTGTTTCGGACATGACTGTTGCCGAACTAAAGGAGTATTTGAAAATGCGTGGCGTTACTGCAAACGGCTATTTAAAACCTGCTTTACTTCAAATTGCTCAAGCAGTGGAGAAAATGATGTTGCCGATTGACCCAAATCATGAATATGGAAATTCGGATCTCAAGAACGCAAGAGAAACATTTATTATTCATGATATGGTGATACGTCAGCCATTGTCATATCCAGTTGTGAACGACTTTATACTAGATTCGCCACCCTTCGGTTTGTATATTTTTAACTGTTTAATATACAGCTCAGCTGAGTATGATAAACAGGGACTTGCCTCATATAAATCATTCGAAGATTATAGAGGCTGCAAGCACATCGCAGCCTGTTTGTATTCGCTGGAGGATGTACTGCATAATCGGTAATCGCGAGAGTGTAACATCTGGTCCATGCCAGGTCATTAGTAGAAAAGCGCAAATATATTGATTATAAAATATAACTTACTTTATTCCCATCAGCTGTAGCTGGTATCGGATCAGGATAATCCGCTGTGGGTCCATTTTCGTCAATAAAATGAAAACCGCATATATAGCTGTCTTTCCGACAGACGAACTTGTCGCCTCGACAACATGCATTTATCCAAATTTGCCTTCTTTCCTTAGATTTTTCTCACTTGGGAAACTGTAGAAAGATACTGAAGTCCCATTGTCCTTTTTTAAGCGTGCTGGTTACCTCGAATCGCTTTTGCATATTCCCCAAGCACATCTCTTTACCATAATTTGTGAATCACTTATAGTATAATCATGGATAGTATAATCGTATGGCGCGTTTTTACTGTCAAAATTCAATAGTTCTAAATCGTTCACCAATGATGCAAATCGAGCAACACTTACTCGAATCGAGCAGACTGATATGTAAATCGATCATTGAAATCGATCAATATACATTCAAATCGAGCAAACACTAGCCAAATCGAACGTTTATTTGTCAAATCGAATATCAAATAAGCCGCACTTGCGAGTCAATCAACACCTATTCGAATCGAACATAACGTGTTTCAAAACGAGCATCATTCAGTGAAAACGAGCATCATTTAGTCAAAATCAAAACGAGCATAATTTTTGCAGCATGCGGTGTTTCCACTTTTTGCCAAACTGATTTCCACTTCCACTATCAAAATGGTGTTTTTCCGTTCAAAATTTCCTTCCAAACACTTGGAAAATGTTAATTCCATTAATCCCGAAATTTACTTCCTTGATTTTTCTTGCGTGGAATTTCCTTCAAATTTTCCTTTGAACCTCGTGTTTATGTGCTGCTTTCCATATTCTGCGAATACAAAAGAAGATTTCGGGTTTTTCCTGCGGTTTATTGCAAGGTAAGTGAAGTTGTT